GGGGCTGCCCAGCCCTCCGTCGGCTGCCAGGCGCACCAGGGCCCTTCTGGCTCCCAGATGCCCACCAACTCAAGGTGGGCGCTGGGGACCGGCTGAGAGCGGCACCCTGCCCAAAGAAAGTGCATAGGCTGGGGTCCCCACTCAGCCTCTGCCTTGAGTCACAGAATCAGAACAGTGTATGTGAAGGAAACCTGTCACCACGGGCGGGGGAGGGCGCACCACGTGCAGGAGGAGGGGAACAGCGATGTCCTGAGTACAGCCGGCAGCTGCAGCCGCAGAGGGGGCGGGCCAAAGCCCTGCTTCTGAACTTGAGTTGCCATTGCATTTATGAGTGGGTGGATGTGTTTCTCGCGCCGTTCCCTGTTAGCAGATGCGCCCTGCTCTGGCCCAAAAGCCCCTGGGTGGAGGGTGGTGCTGCGTGGAGACGCTCGCGCCGCCCACTTCACCTCCAGGCTCCTGGCAGACGCCAGCGCAGCGCACGAGGCACACCCGACCGCACACGGCTGCTCTTCAGAGGCGTGGCCTCTAGGGGGCAGCAGTGGCGACTAAGGGAAGGGGCTATCTCCATCCCTGGGCACCTGTCCTATTGCCACACGCGTTACCCATTCCCCTTGAGGGAGGGTAGGGGAAGTTTGTGCAGTGGTCCCTCCAACAGGGTCAGCGACCACACCCTATGCCAAGCATCGGCTTGGGGTGGGGGGAGGTAGGGGCACTTCAGCTGGAGCTCGGGGGTGTCTCCTTCCAACCTCAGACCAAGCCTGTAGAAAAGGAGAGAAAGTGCACCGAGAAGGCGGGGACCCAGCTACCCTCCTCTCCCACACTGGGGGTCGGAGGCCCCACGGCCAGCAAACTCTGCCCAATGAGCTTACCGGCCACCCTCCTCCAAGGACCTGCCCCTCCCTTGGCACAACACAGCCACAGGCTTCCCGCTGCTCTTCCAGCTCCATAGACTCTATTTTTATATCTATTTAAAACATAGAAATGTATAAATATATAGGATATTATTTATAGATATATAGACGTGATTTAATCTTCTCTGTGTGGAGACCCCGTATATGTCCATATATACAATGTACAGGTTGTCGCATCAGTATTGTACACGCACACCCCCGCTTCCACCCAGGCCTCCCGAGGGGACTGGATTGCATAGGTATTCCAGGGCGATACCACCTAGTGGATGGAGGGGTGTCAGCTGGAAGAGGAGGGCCGTACCATTTTTCTCCCCAAAGGGCACTTTTTCTGGCTAACAGGCAAAGACGACCTCCAGGGCTCCTTGAAACCATAGCTCCATCCACTCAACTGAGGCGCCCTGACCAACAGAGGGAAAGAGAAGGACCTCCCTCCAAGCAGAAACGGGCTTCCCACATCTCTTGACGCCTCCTTTCTTGCCTCCAGAGGCCCGCCTGCCAGGCGTGCTTCCTGAAGGGACCCGAGGGTGTGCCTGAGTGCCAGTGTGGTAGAGCCTTCTGCCAAAGTGGGATGCACGGGCCAAGAAGCACAGGCCACGTGGAAATGAACCCATGAGACCTCAAGCCAAAAGCAGCTCTAGATGCAGAGTTCCCGTGCCCAGAGCAGGAGGAGGGAAGTGGAAGAGGGCGGGGGTCTCCAGAAGAGACCCACTGGGCTGCCTCTGGAGCCCCGCAGGTGCCAGCCCAAGGCCAGGCCGGGCAAATCTGTGTCCATTTCTGTCTCCCCACGACAGGTTCAGCCTTCCACATGCCCCCCCCACCCAAATAAATGGAATTACAAAGTCCTTTCTCCAAATGAAAGGGCTCACCCAAGCAAGGCAAGAGGAGGGCCTCAGCAGACAACTGGACTCAGAAACAAAGAGTGGGGCAGAGGGCAGAGACCCCTGGGCCCACCGACCACAGACTCAAGGACCCAGCCCTGAATTTGGCCATTCGGGGTTCCGGAGCTTGGTCCTGTTCTCATTCCCAGGGAGGCTGGAGAAATAAGGATGTGCCCAGCATCACAAGATGTCACAGGCAGTCATTAAAAAATAAAAAAGAAAAAGGAAAAAGACTGCTGTTTCCGGTGGCCTCCCTGTTCCAACAGGCAGGCAGAACTGCCCGGGGTGTCTGACCAGGTGGGAGTTGCAGACGGGGGGGGGTCTCCCCTTTCACAGACATTAGATGGCACTGGGTGTCTCTAAGGAAAAGCAGATTGTTTTAATCATGAGGGCCTGTGGCTCCAGGCTGTGCAGCGCAACCACTTGGCACAACTGGTCACCAACCTGGGCCTCAGTCTTGACCTCACTGACCACCCACTTCATGAGCCAAAGAAACCTCCAACCAGCCACCCAGTGAGGCTAAGTCTCGGCTCTAGACACATTCTCCCTTCTCCGTCTGTGGAGGTCCCTCCTAAGCCGGAGCTGAGTTCAGGGCTCTGTCTCATCTGCAGTGACCACACCTGGGAGGCGGGCCACCTGTCCACAGTTTTCACACCTGTTCAAGGTACTGGGCTAGTAAAGCATGTGGTTCCCTGGGTCAGACCTTGAGTGCCCCCTCACCCGGAGCCCATCTCGGAGGGGAGGAGTGGGACAAGCCCAGGACAGAAGCACGTATCATCCCAAGCAGGGTTCACAGGACCAAGCCCTGAACCTCCCAGGGGGCACCTGGGCCGAGAAAAGACCTGGTGCGAATTGCAGTGGCATGTCCCATGTTGTCCCCTGGTTACCCCCATCCCGAGGCGCAGTGGCCTACAGAGAGTCCGCCGCAGCCCGGGGCCTAGCTGGGTTGGTGGAAGCTGTGAGCACCTGAGTTTGAGAGGCCCCTGACAGACTGACCGCCACCTACGTACAGGTTCAGCTGCTCAGAGCCTCAAGCCATTGCAAGGGTGTGACCTCCTCCTGCCAGGTCCTGCTAGTGGCAGTGAGTTCTTCCAAGCCCTGAGCCAGGTCCCTCAGGGTAGGCACTGACATGGGCTTGAGGGATCCTTCCCCCAGCTGAAGACTCAGCTCTTTCTGGCTAAGGGCCTTGGGGGAACAGTCACAGCCCTGACTCGGTGCTCAGGAGTGGTCCGCCCTCCTGGCAGAGGGTCCCCGTGCAGCGGGTCAAGGGAATGAGGGGTAAGGCAACTGTTGGCAGAGGAAAGAGCCCCCCACTGTTTCTGCCCGGCACCTGGGGCCACCTTGCCAACCAGCCCTGGTCTCTGCAATGTGCAGTGACGCTCCCCAGACAGGAGTCTGTGTGTAAGAGGGGACAGGAAGTCCCCGAGCAGGAGCTGGGGAACAAGGGACCTTGTGCTTTGCAACAGAATCCCACTTGACCTTGATGGTGACCCCGGTTAGGGTTAGGCCCAGATGGGAGGAGCCGTGGAGGGAGGCTGGGGGCAGGCGAGTGGAACCAGGCTGGGAATTTCAAGCATCTGAGAGGGGTCTGGGGCCTCTCCTGCTCTCCCCTTGCTCAGAAGAGGGTGGAGGTGTGCGGCTGGGTGGGGGCCGGGTGGGGGCCGGGTGAAGGTCACCAGGCAGGGTGCATTGATTGTTGAAGAAGGCAGCATATGAGGCCGGGCAGTGGGACAGTGGGAGGAACCCAGTTTTGTTTTCTGGTTTTTTGTTTTGTTTTGTTTTAACATGCTACATCACCATTGAAAACAAACAAGAACATTTCAAAAATAATATATAATATAATATAATATAATATAATATATATATTTATAATGAAAAGCTATCGACTAGCAGCAATGATTCTAAAGTTATCTTAGCACCAAGACCATGGGGGTGAGAGGAAGGATCTGTGAGGGGCAGGACCGGCGGGGCCAGGAAGGGGCGGTGACGTTCAGTGTTGATGACCTTTCCACTCTGGTTCTCACGGTGGCACCAGGCCGCAGACACAAGATAAACCAAGAGTAAGGGAGCCACCGCAGCTGCACAGTGTCTGAGCCACAAAGGCCAAGGTTCGGGGGGCCTCGCCTGTGGCCAGATCTCAACACCCTCCACTAATGGGGAGGGACAGCCGAGCGGGGACGCGGGATCCAGATCCCCGTCCCTCCCCCAATACGACCTGCGTCCACCTTAGGATCTGTGCATATAAAATACGCACAAATCAGGTGTGGGAACGTGAAGAGAAGCTTTAACAGCTCACGCACATATCTGGAGACTCCCCTGCGAGGTATACTGTGGTGAAATGACGGGAGGAGCGCGGGTCAGACTCCTCGCCTACACCACTGCCTGCCCCAGGGAGCGGGCAAGTGGCCTTTTCTAAAGCTTATATTGTGGTTGTGGTGTGTGTGTGTGTGTGTGTGTGTGTGTGTGTGTGTCCAAGTTGATGCCTTGAGAATCTGGTCCCGCTTCCTGTTTGCTCCTTTTCTTTGGGACATCTCTACCCTGTTCACAAAAAGGAAGCTCACAGGCCTAGAAGCACTGCCCAGTCTCCCAGGACCTTCCTGCTGGGCTGCGGAGCGTGGCGCCAGCCCGGACCACCTCCCTGGGGACGCTCTTAGAGTGACACGTAACCCAGGGCACAACTTGCATCGACAGCTCCTGCTCCGTAGCTACCTTGCAGGTGCTTGATTATGAAAGGAAAACAAAAATACCCCCCAACAGTATATGATTATAAAGACAGAGTATAAATAATCCATGTCGATCCCATAGATACTTTTCATTTTACTTGTTTTTAGCCAAAAATCGCCGCCCCGTTGGGGGTCTGGATTTGCTGGCTTTTCGTCTCCCAGCGGCCCTGGGTCTGCGTGGGATTCTGCCATCTGATCCTCCACCATGGACAACAGGGATGCCCAAAGCCGCCCTCCCCTTCCCCTGGATTGCAAGCTCGGCTCTAAGGCCCTTCTGCCTTCCAGAGAACGGGTTCTGTCTTTCAATCCAGGGGCCTGGAGGGAGCGAACAGACCACCAGGGACGGGAGGTGACGGGTGGGGGCGGGGAGGGTTCACAGTACCACCGACACCTGTGTTTGTGGGACAGCGAAGGGAATGAGTAGAACAAATCCGTCACACTGACGTCAGGTGGGGGAGGAGGGCACCCCAACCCACAAGGTGGGAGTCGGGGACCAGAATGTCAACGAAGAAGCCAAGAGCCACCCCCCAAACCCCACCATGAAACCCAACAGAAAAAATGGCGAGAACATAAACCCCAAGCCCAACCCACCTCCCTCCACCCCCCAGTGGCGACAGGAACAGAGCGAGCTACCTAGAGGCCGTGACAGAGACCCGTCACTTAGCTCATGCTGTCGGTGGCTGTCGGGTGGGGACACGCGGGGCCCAGCACATGCTTCTGTGAGTGGAAACGGGTCGCCACGTAGGTTCAAGCTGCCAAGTGTCGTAGACAGGCGTCGCTGTCCGACGTCGTGCCTTTCTGAAAGCTCCTAGTAGCTTCTGGTGGACGTGTCACCTTGGTTTTTTAAAAATCTTCAGTGTGGGTTTTATATATATATATATATATAATATAATATAATATAGATTTATATAATATATCAAAGCTTATGAGTATAGATTAAAAAAATATTCAACAGCTCCGTGGACTCTGCCGCTGGCTCCCTACATGTCCGGGTAGAACTCGGACCCGTGGTCCACGGCCTGCAGCGCCGGCTTCTGCTCCAGGGCCGACATCCTGCTGAGGACCTCGGCCGACAGTGCGTAGCTGTTGCCCGACTTCTCCTCGAACCAGCTGTCCAGGGCTCGCTTGGCATCGAAGTTGGCGATGGGCGGTCCGTTGACCGCGACGGTCAGCAGGTCGCTCAGCTGCTCCAGGGTCAGGCGGGAGCGGTGGTTCTTGCGGACCCTCTGGAGGGCGCTGCGGCCCTTCTCGCAGCAGGCGGTGGACGTGGGGAGGACCTTCAGGACCTGGATGATCTTGTTCAAGAGCGGGAACCTCTGCTTGTACTTGCAGACGTGGCTGATGAGGTCTTTGAAGCCGTTTTTGGTATAGTAATCGGCCTTGAGCTCCCGCCACTCCGTCAGCAGGCTGCCCCGCGGGTCCAGCCCCTCCTGGCCGAGGTCCCGGGAGAAGGTGGGGATGGCCTCCAGGTGGTCGAGTATCTGCACCATGTCCTCCTTGCCGTAGCTCACGAGCTCCTCGCTGCTCCTGGGCCAGGCGGCCAGGTCGAACACCTGGCAGGCCTTCACGAAGATCCGGCTGCGGGAGTCGAACCTCTGGGCCAGGATGACCTGGGTCTTCTGGCAGATCTTCTCCCTGATGGACTGGAACTTGGCCTCGGCCACCCTGAGGTTCTTCACGGCAACCCCGTTGAAGCTCTCCCGGAAGTTCTCCTCGAACTCCTGGAGGTACTCCCCCGGGCAGTCGGCCAGCCGGCTGACCTCCTGGATGGCCTCCTCGATCTTGTCGTCCACCTGGGACACCAGCAGGTACTCGCCCTGGAAGACGTAGGCCAGGCGCGAGAGGACGGCGATCACGTCCAGCAGGAAGTAGATGAGCTTGACCGACTGATAGTCCATGAGGAACTGCAGCAGGGCCAGGGCGATGGCCGAGGCGTCCGCCCGCTGCGTCTGGCTGCTGACGTCCTTGAGGTGGGCCACCACCTCCAGGTAGTCCTTGATGAGGGCGTTGAGGACGTTCTGCTCCCCGATGACCCAGCGCACGGCCCGGATGTCCCCCAGGAACTCGGTCTCCTCGCAGAGGGTGGCGGCCGTGCAGCGCAGCTCGCCCAGGAGCCGGGGCGAGTAGCGGTAGAAGCTCAGCAGCTGCTTCAGGTTGTTCTCCAGCTCCTCCAGGCAGGGCAGCTCCTTCCCGCTGATGGCGTCCAGGATCTCCAGGTGGGGCCGGTGCACCATGAAGGGCAGGCACAGCAGCCAGGGCAGCGTCTTGCGGATGGTCATGAACATGCTGGCCCGCAGGCTGGCCGTGATGTTGGCCCCGTCCACGCCCAAGCCCACCGTGGGCTTCTCGTCCTGCAGCCGGATGCCCAGGGTGGTGAAGGCCCGGTCCAGCGCCTGGAGGTAGCTCTCTGTGCTGGAGAAGCCCAGCTCCTGCAGGGACAGGAACTCCGTGGCCGGGGGCCCGTCGCTGCTGGTGTACTGGACGTACACGGCCACCGTGTCGGCCAGCAGGTCGTCGCTCTGCCCGTCCAAGATGATGCTGAGGCACGGGGACTGGCGGATGCGCTCCACCAGGTCCTCCCGCAGCGCCCGGGCGATGTGGTGGACGAGCACCTGGCAGTCGCCCTCGTTCATGTACTGGTCCACCACCTTGAGCTCGCACTTCCTCAGCAGCTCGGCCAGCGGCCGGAAGTCCAGGTAGGGCCTGCCCTCGAGGGCCAGGTGGTAGGCGGTGTTGAAGAGCAGGGTCATGCTGCGGCACATCTCCTCCGTCTTCTCGGGGTGCATGCGGAGCTTGTAGAGCTGCAGGCACTTCTTGTGCAGGTTGCTCTGGCTGTGCAGCTTGATGGTGTGGATCTTGAACTGCTTGGAGCCGATGATGAAGGCCGAGGTGCGGGAGGACTGCACCGTGTACTGGCGGCACACGTGGCACCACATCTCATTGAGGGTCGGCGAGTACCGCAGGAACCAGAACTTCTTCAGCCACTCCTGCTTGAAGCGCCGGATCCGGCGTCCGGTGGCGGAGGACATCTTGGACGGCTCGTCGGTCGTGGTCATCATATCGTTGGAGACGGATTCATCGGCCGAGTCGACCTCCTGGTCATCGTCCTCCATGATGGCGGGGCCCGAGACCATGCTCTCGGAGGCTGGAAAACAAAGTCGAAAGAAGCGCTTACACCCTGTGGCAAGAACGGGTTTCCGAGACGGCAACACGAAACAGCATCTAAAGGCGAGACCCCACAGCTGCCTGAGAGGGATGGAACCCCAGCCTGGAGTTCACTTCCAAGCACTCTGTTCCCCACAGGTGACTCTCCCTCTTTGGGGACGGTCCAGGTGGCCTTTGGCCACCACCCACCATGTTCCAGGCTGCCCGCCCTCTGCCCACCCGGGGGTGCTCCGGAGATTGCGACGTTCCCCATCAACAGAGAAGACCAACTGGAGGAGCAAACTGTTGGGGCACCCCAAACAGCCCCAGGTCACCCGTGGAGGACAGGGACTTGTGTGCCCTCCACTCAGGAGGTCAGAGGAGGCCTGCTGCCCCGGAATGAAGGCCGCGTGGCTCTGGCCCCCTGTGGTTTCAGGGTCAGAACGCGCTTGAGCTCAGATGTGAGCTTGAGGACCTGCACCATCTCATTGGGGACTCGGGGCGTGGCTGAGGGGCGAGGCGCCCGTGCGCAGGCCACCCCGGCTGCAGAGGGGAACCGATGACCCGGCCCGGTTCTCAACTAGCTCCACGAGATCCGAGCACCAGCACAGAAGGGGCAAAGCCATGCAGCTGGTCACCCTGGACCCCCGAAGTCCCATCCTCTGAAAACTCCAGGTGGGGAACTAGGACCCTGAGGGGAAGAGCAGACCCTGGCAGAGGACAAGGCCACATTCTGGATAGAGATTTGGGGGGGAGGCTCCCCAGAGGGACTCCCTGCTGGGCCATGGGGGAGAGAAGCTGGGCTTTGGGTGGCACCCTGGTGGGGCCATCACAGAAAGGCAAAGGTCAAGAACACAGCACACGCCCCTCCTGCAGCAATCGTCTTTTATTGACACAGAGCAGCACGTGAAGCGTCCCACCAGAGCCGCAACCGGCCTGCCATCGGCACCTGAGGACAAGGCACCTGGGGTCCCCAGAGGACAGCTCCGACAGAGGCCCACGGCCCCGTCCACAGCCCCGTCGCTCCTCCCTCGGCAACAGTGGCGTCCACACCCGCTTACCTGTGGGGTCCGAGAACTCTGGGAGCTCCAGCGCCTGGGGCGGTAACACGGGGGGCTCTGGGAGCTTCCCAGACTTGAGCAGGTCCAGCTCGGCCTGAAGCTCCCGCACCTTCTTCTTGAGGCGGATACAGTTGGGGCAGAAGGAGGTGGTGGGCAGCTCGTGGGCATCGGACGCCAGGGAGGCCTCGGCCGGGCTGTCGGCCTTGAACGACGAAGGCTCCTCTTCCTCATCCTCCAGGGGGCCCGGCTCCTTGGCCACCCCCGAGGGGGTCTTCCAGTCCCCGTCCCCCTGGGCCCGGCTGACGCCCTGCATGCTGTGGGTCATGGCTGTGGCACACCGGCCATAGGCATCGTCCTGGTACTTGGGGACTTTCCTGATGACCAGCGAGGTGCTCAGTGCCAGCTGGTGGGCCTCCACCTTGGCGGACTCCAGAGACGCCTCCAGCACGTCCTTAAAAATGAGGTCGATCTTCTTCTTCTTGGCCTGGGGGTGCACGTCCCCCTCATCCAAGCCACGCTTGTAGGGACTTTTGCCCTGTCTCAACACGGGGAGCTGAATAGCGCCCCTCAGGTCTTCTGGGGTGTCCAGAGCCTGCTCACACTTCTCCCTCTGCAACCTCTTCTCTCCTAGGAAGGAAAACCAGGGTGTCAGGAAGCGGGGACAGCCCCCCAGCCGAGAAACCAACAGAAACCAAGCAGACCTTCTGCGGGGTCACTGGCGCGCCCTCTGAAGGCGCCTCCTGGGGCAGGCGTGACAAAATGAGCTGGTGAACAGTGGGGACTTGTCCTGGGACCCACAGGGCATAAGAACTCTTTTGAAAAGGCAGTTTCAAGAAGCCTCAGGTGTGTGCACTCTGACTTACAAGTCGAGGGAGGCCTACGGGAGGTGACTGTGTCTTCTTTCACAGGGACCTGCCGTCCTGGGGGGGGCGGGGAGTCCCACCCCATCAAAGTGGGTGGGTGGGAGCACAGTCCAGAGCCCAGGCGCTTCCCCTCCAGCCCTCGCCATGAGAAGACGCTGCTTTGACTTGGTAAAAGGTTCACGGGCGACGCAGAGCCCTGCTCCTGCCTTCTCCGCGGCTGTCCTGGAGATGGCCCACTTAGGGGACAGTCCACCCCTCACTTCTGTAACCCTCCGAGCAGTCACAAGACTGGGAACATGTGAGCAAGCGTGACCTGTGGGTCTCACTGATGACGCAGGCTGGAGGGGGAGGACAGGACACCCACAGTTACTAAAGGCTCCAAGATGGCGGCCTCCGAAAAGATAAAGGACAAGGTCATCACCATGACTGAAAGCCACCTCAAGACACAGCTGTTTCCTTACCTGACACCAGGGGTCTATTTCTATCCTGTGCATCACTTGACTTCTCTCTCAGTTACGTTGGGACACCTGAACCTTTGATGGGTTTCCCAAGAGTAAGTTGTTTTAGCCTCGTCCTTTTCAACAGCCAGCTGCAGAGCATGCGGACTCAGAGGGCTGACGACTCCTGAGGGGGAGGTGCTCAGGAAACAGAGGAGCCTCCTCAGTCCCCAGAATATTCCCACAGCTGTCTGTGGAGCTTGGAAATCTTAAAGGCGTCTTAAGGCAGGGGCAGGGGCACTGAAACCCGGCTTCTCATAGCGGGGTTGGTGAGAGGCCAGCCGAGGGGTCTCCATTCGATGTTCCATGCTGGGGCCAGTGATATGCCCTGCCCCAGGTCCAACGTCAGGTTTCCCACAGTGACCACACAGAAAGGAGGGACCTATCTGGATGCCCTTGTCATTGTCACATGAATGCTTGGGGAACAGCCTGTCTCCAAGGCTCCCGGGACAGGATGGCTCCCCTCAGCCTGCATTTGTCTATCAGCTGGGCTACAGAGCAGAGGAGAAATGGAGAGCACTCACTAAAGCAAGACCCAACACACCTGTCCTGTGGATCAGAAAAAGCACTGGCCCCTTTGGAATAGCCATACGTCCAGGGCTGCCCTTCCCCCTCACCAGGGACCAGACAGCCGACAGCGGGGGAGGTGGGGAGGTGCAGGCTGCAAGCCACCAGGGACTCCTCGGGCCCTGGTGGGAGGACCAAGCCTGTGCAACATGCTAGGGCCAGCGGGAGGCTGCTCTGGACTTCAGGCTTCATGAAAAACAATGTGAGCTTGATTCCAAGATCTCGAGGAAATAGGGGGGGGGACCAACCCAGAACTCAAAGTAGATCAATATCTCAAAATCAATCAAAGAAGAACTTTTCTGAATATGAGCACGAGATCCATCCCGTCCTTCAGTGATAACCACAGGGAATAACCGCGACTCTCTTCAGGTAAGCTGCGGGTTCCAACAGCGTCCCTGCCCGAGCAGGACTCGTGACTCCTGCCCTGGCCTGCCTGGCACATCACCCTCAGTGACAGAGCAAGCTCCCTGCTCAGAAGGGCTCTCCTTCAAGAGCAGGACTAAGCCACCACTAAAGGGCCAGGATCAGCCAAAGCAAAAGCCACAAAGAGACATCTAAATGCCACCAAGCTCCATGACTGGACCCGAGGGCTGGTTCGGGGCCGAGAACACCCACAGCTGTGGCCCTGTCCCACTGTGGCTGTCAGCGTCCTCCCCGCTCCCCGCCGCTCAGCCTGGCTGGCCGGACGCTGCTCGCTCCTGGAGCTCCACGCGGCTCTGGACGTCCCCCTTCAAGTCTGTCTGCCACGCTTCCTTCAAGCCACCACTCCTGAGTGGCCCCTGGTGTCCCAGCTCTCTGAAGATGGATGTTGCAGCTTGAGGTGCTCTGGAGAGGTCACTGGGGATGGAAGAGGACATCACACGCCCAGAAGAAGGTCCTGGCCAGGGGATGAGACCTGCATCCTCAGCAGGCTTCCCTTGCTCTCCTCTTCTCCGGGCGGCGGGACTCTTTGGGAAACGTCTTGATGTCGTCATTCACTTCTTTCGTCCATGCAGCGAAGAGTGACTGAGGACCCACTGAGTCTCAGACACTTTTACAGGGGGCATCTCCGAGGTCAGGTGGATGCCCCCGAAATCTCAGCCTGGGAGCATGCCTTCCCCGTGAGATCAGCAGGGCCTTCCCCCCGGTTCCAAAGAGGACAAGAATGTTCCAAGAGGTAAGAGTGACTACCGATCCCCTCTCACTGCCCGTCAGTCACCAGGTACCTTTTACCAAGCCAGGCAGCAGCGGTGCCCTCGGTTTCCAGGATTCGCATTGTTCTGACTTGTCTCTAAAGACCGCTGAACCTCAGGGAGTCACCCACCCCCCCGTCTGCTCCAACCATCTTCCCGATTGACAGACTTCACATTCGCGGCTGGTCAGAAACACGACAGGGTGGGGCTGGGCACAGCCTGGGCTCCTGGCACCAGATGGACTCTGGGCATTTGGATGTATGGCTTTGAGGTAACAAGGTCCCCTGGAGAGAAGGACCAGACTCGCTAGTTACCCTGGCCAGGCTGAGGGTGAGTGACAAGGTGCGGGGCCGCGCTGGGCTGTGTTTTCAACCACATCCAAACGACCAAGCCGCCCGCCTCCCAGGCCTGCATCCCCTGCCCAGCCCTCCTGGACTCCCTCCGAAGCAGCTGTCCTTTTACATCCGTTCCCCAGGTCTGCTGATGGTGAGGCCAGCAGGAAGCGGGGACGAGACTGATTCTGTCTGAGAGCCACCAGGTGGGAACTGAGCACCTGGAGTCACAGTGGTGGGACAGGAACCCAGGCTGCCCCCCCCAGCACCTGACCCAGGGTGAGTCACCGTTGGTGATGGGATAACCGTCGACGTGGGGCTGTCACTATTAAAGGTTTGCCCTGGGGACTTCACCCTGCTCTGCACACGGTCCTCACTGGCTCCCCGAGTTCCCACCCCCCCCCCCCGTGCTGGAGGGGAAGCTGCCCCGACCGTGAGGTTCCATGGGCGCATGTGGAAACCCAAGTCGCCCTCGGTGGGCATGTAGCAGATGTCCTCTGTCCCTGTGACTGCTGGGGTGTCGGCAGTGTGACATCTTTTCATCACTTTGAGCTGGGGAACAGGTCAGGGGATTAAGCCCCGTCCCTTGGCCGTGGGGCCTCTCTTCCCAGTGCTCTCAACTGTGCAGCTGGGATTTCTGAGACCATCTTGCAGGGGAGGGGACACCCTGGGCGGTCACTGCGTGGCCTGGAGCGCGGCGCGGATCTGGGCCATCTGAGGTCCTGAAAGGCCCCGTGTTCCCGCGGCTGGGGCTGGAACCTGCGCCTCCTGGGTGTCCTCTGGAAGCCCCGGGGGCCCGCAGAGGCCAGGGCGTGGCCTCCGCACACTCACCTCTGGCCAGGTTGCGGTGGATGGTCTCCTGGGACATGCTGTGCAGGCGCCTCATGTAGTCCTGGCTGTACCAGACCCGCAGCCGCTCCCCGGGCCGGATGTCCCTGCAGGCGCGGAAGTAGATGCGCTCGCCGTGCTGGAAGGCCAGCAGGTTCCGCTCCCTCTCCTCCCGGGAGATGACCACGTACCTGGGGGCGAGGGGAACAGGTGAGAACCGCGGCCGCCCGGGGGAGGGCTGGGCAGGGCTGGGTGGCAGGCGCGAGTGGCTACGAGTCGCGGTTCACGGGCACCGGCGAGGCGGGTGAGGCAGCTGCCCTTCTGGGGAAGGGTCCTGTCCTGCAGGTGCCGTTCCTGGGACGTCAAGCACATCCCTGGGCCTCTAGGAATCTGTTCCCAGGGACTGTCAACAGCCCTGCTCTGCCGTGTGTTAGGGTGAATGTCAGATTTGGCAGCAGATTAAAGGTGCCTGGGACACATCGGCTCCTCCGCCCGTCACTGTTTTTCCCCCAGTGCAGGGATGTCACCCAGGGCCTGGTGCCTGCGAGGCTGTCATTCTGTCACTGAGCTGCACCCCAGCTCCTTTACTGCAGGGTCCCTGACCCTCACAGGCCGCTGACGGGAAGGGAAGGGTGGGTTCTTGGGGCTGTTTTCAGTATCTCACAAAACCTCACAGAAAGAACCCACAGGGCAAGGGTGCCCAGGACCGCATTCCACAAATGTTAAAGATCCCAAGTCTTTACAGAGGGTCCCGTGGGGACAGAGGAGGTAGGGGACAATGAAAGGTTGGCACACACTGCTTAATCTAATTAAATGATTCGAGGTACAGAGAGTGAGGCTCCGAGAGGCTAAGTAACTTGTCCAAGGACACACAGCCAATCAACGGGAGGTACAGTTCGGGGGGCCTGTGCTTTCCCACCATCACTATGGCTTCCATGTGGGCAGGTAAAGCACCAACGCGGCTTTAAAATCAAATAATAAAACAATAACACGCACATCGATACAGGTAGCAAGGAAGGCATCTCCCAGAGTGGTCACCCGCACAGCCCCCCCCCCCGGGAAACAAACTGGCAACACAGACCCAAGGCAATAAGATGCACGGCAGGCGCGCCAACCTCCCAACCCACGACACACCTGGCTCGCTCTTTACAAAAGTGCAAAAGCCCAAATATCTGAATTTCAAAAACCAGAGTAAATGAGGGTCCATTCCACAGTGGCATGTTACTCGTCCCCAGAAAAAAAAAATGTTTGCAAAGAATCTTTTGTCACATGGCAAAACCTTGCTGACACAACGCAGAGCAAGAATAACAGGAGGAGGGAGAGCTATTTACGTTATGGTTCCAATCATGCTTTAAAAACCGGCCCCTGTAAACGGCTTGCAGGACACAGAGCTGTGTCCTAACAGTATGATCCATGGTGATTGGATTTTGTTTGTAATTTTCAGTTCTTTACAGGTTTCCTCAATAAGGCGTCTGTTGTTTTTACTATTTACATCTCCCACATAGAAAGAAAAAATACAGACAGATGCTCATTCCAGCAGTGGTGGTAGGCACAGGGGCCAGCAGCACTGAGGGTCTACACTAGAGTGCCCCAGGGACAGGGCCAGCATCTTCACGTCCAACCTGACCTCACCTAAGTCTGCCTTGGAGGCGGGCATGGCCACCTTAGAAGGGGTCCACTGGGACCCAGGGAACCGTCCACTCTGGCAACGGAACGTAGCACAGAACTCAGGGGAACTAAGAACGAGACAGAGGGAAGAGAAGGAAGAGAACCCCGGCTTTGGCAGCTTTCCCCTTCGAAGCAAGTCACAAGCTCCACCCTGGAGCAAGAACTTCATCTTGTCCAGGATCTGGGCCTCAGAGCTGCGAAACCACATGGCTATCTCCACGCACCCAACCTTGATGGTGTGAGCCAAGAACTTAGAGCCAAGAGGATCTGGGGCCCCGAGATGTCATCCCTGGTCACAGCTCCCCGTCCGAGTTCTCCAACGGCAGAGCTCTCCTTCTCTCCATACGTGCCCACATTTTTTTCTGAATATATAAAATAATTTCCAGTCCCCAATTTAGTTAGACTCTGCAATTTGACATCCCAAAATAATCAACCTCGTCGTCTGCACAGAACGCAACTGCAGTAGCTCCAAACGTTTCCCTCCCGGCTGCGTGTGGAAGGCGACCCTCCATTCATTCTTGTTCTCCAAAGCCCCTGGGGTCACAGAGCACAGGGGGAGGAGACCACTGCCCCTTGTCCCCTCCTGTTGGAGTCTAAACAACTTCAAGCTTGAAAGGATGGACTCATTTCCCCATCACTCGACTTTCCAAGGAAAAGACAACCGAGGAACAGGTAACGGGGATCAGGGATCCATTTATTCCAAAGAGCAACTTCTGGAATCTGTCATAGGTTTAGGAAGATGCGCGTCCACCTCCCCTTCCATCCCCTGGTGCTTTTCTACCCAAGAACCAATGCTTCGACAGAGCACCCCAGGCCTCTGAGTAGATCGCAAGGCATTTTCAAAGACAGACCCCAGCGTGTTCCGCCTGTTGGGTTTGGTTTTAAACTTGGCATTTGAAATAAGACATAGATGGCAGCTCTCGGTGAGTCACCACAACAGAGTCCCCTGCCAAGATCGTGTTGATATAATTTTCGAGGTAAAGCGAATCCTCTCGTCACGTCTGCCTTTTTAAGTATTCTGGGCTAATACCTAGTGGCCTGGTCCAATCTCCGAGTCCTGCTGCCCCATCACCCGGGTGCAGGTAGGCAAGAGCCCTCCCTGCAGAGCACACGGCTTCCAGGGAGTGAAAGGTCTGCGACCTGAGCTGCCAGGTCACCCCCTTGTTGGAGAGGAGGCCTGAGAAGCAGGCGAGAGCCGCCCAGTCAGGGCTGTTGGGCAGGGCAGGGCTTACTGGCCAGCAGTCCAGATCCTACCGGAAGACTCGGCACCTCTGGGTGGAATCCTTCGTGGGGTTGATGGGTCATTACGTTCCTGCTGGCGTTGGGTCCTGGACAGATGAGCACAGAGGCGATCCCCAGCCCTTGCCCACCATGTCTTATGAGGGCGCCCTGTTTTCTAGCTGGGTCAGGAAATGACTGTCGGTTCCAACTTGAGAAAAATAAGCCACCAGGCACCCCCTTCTTCAGAGGGGACCTGCGAAGGCCAGGCTCCGCCCTGCTGCTCCCTCCAGGGGGCCGGCAGACCTGGCCAGGCCTGGGAGTGGGCTGGACTCTGTCTCCTTACATTAGGCCTCGGGCTGGGAGGGACCTTAGGTCCTGCGCCCGCCCTCCAGGTGGCCACCTGGCCTTGGACAGCACACCTCCCAGCCCGCCTCTGGAGGCCACCTTCATGGTTTCCCGTGGGCAGCTGGAGCAGGCCCCAGCTCACGTCCAGCACACACTGTCCGCTTGCTCTTCCTGTTCTCACATGCTGGCCTCCCAGGCCCCAGGACGTCAAGAAACGGGTGTGGCCATCTTTTCCATCCCAAACTGTCAAGAGTCCCCCCCACCCACCCCGTCCCCGTCCCTTTACTCCGACTTCCATTTCAGGTTCACCGCTTCCAACTTGTCCCCTCCTGACCCAGGGCCAGGGAGGAGCCAGCCAGTCACACTGACCGTGGGGGTGCAGGGGGACCCCAGGCCCCCTTCCACAGCGTCTCTGCCCCCCTGGAAGCGGGGAGCCTCGATGTCCACGGCACCCTGCCGAGGAGGGCCGGATTCCACAGCCAAAGGTGGTAAGGGTCATCCAGAAGGGGATTCCGGGTCAAGACCTGGGGACTCCTGCCTGGGGGAAGCTGTGGAGGGGCAGCAGGCCAGGGCAAGGCCCAGGACACTGCTGAGGACACTCCCGGGGGAGCCAGAGGAAGCCACCTGAGCCACTTTGAGAAGCCCTGGATCTGGATGTGCAGGGCCCCACCTGCAACAGACTCACAACAGGACAGCAGGGACAGGTCCCCCCGAGGTTCAGGTCTCAGGGTCCTTAAAGTACCCTGACGCTCTGGACTCTCCTGCAGAAAGGAGGGGATCCTCCCTGGGAACCCTGACTTTCAGGGGACACAGGACCAGATCGTTTAGCGCCATCGCACTTCAAGGTGCATCCCGGTGAGACATGACCAAAGGCATCCTAGGTGGGTGCTCTGCCTCCCTGACCTGGCTTCTGTCCCTGTCCCTGAAGGCCTCACATGGGGCTGGGCACCGTCACCTGCGTGTGTGGAACCAGGGCGAGCAAGGGCCTCTGGAGCCCGCTCACCAGCAGGCTCTCCCCTGTCCCCTAAGCCCTGCTCTGGGGCCTGGAAGTTTCCACGGGAAGCGAAGAAAGAGAACACACAAAGAAAGACCCCAGACCCGGGTGTGTTCAGAGTGTGACATCCATTTCTTTTTATTGCAATCTTGGGGTCCAGCGTGGGAGGGCAAGGCAACTCCAGGCAATGACCCAGCCCCTGGCTGTCGGCCAAAGAGCGTCCCGTGTGGGGACAGGAGCCCCAAAGGACCACAGGGTGGGATGGGGCCGAGGGCCCAGGGACATGGCAGGCGCCCTGCACTGTCCCTGTGGGGGACGAGCTGGGTCTGGGTTCACAAGCAGTGCTCCGGGAAGGGCCTGGGCAGGCGCTGGTACAGCAAGCCTCCCAGCCCCGGCGGTGGTTCTCGGGGACAGGGAGAGGTGGCGGGTGGGCAGAAAGAGCCGCTGGGAAAGAGACAGAGCTGGGGAGCACCTGTCCCCAGCCACCTGCCCCTCCCCTCCCTAACATGAGAGCCCGGGTGTCCCACCCCAACGGGGAGCACGAAGCCAGAGCTGTGTGGCTGGTGCGAATGCAGCCCGAGCAAGCAGAGGCGAGGCATGCTGGCACGCGGGACGGGCTTGGTCCTGCTGGAACCGGAGGCCGGGCTGCCTTCTGGCTCCCGAGACCTGGGCCTGCCTCTCCCTGGCCCCTGGCGGAGAGCTTTAGGGCCAGGGTGTGTGGTAGACGTGCCTAACACTGCCACCTCTCTCCCGACCCACCAGAGGAGACGAGGCAGGCACAGAGGCCAGGCAAGGAGCAAGCCCCCTGCTCCCCCGACTCCAGATGTGGCCTCTGGACAGGGGAGCTGGACAAATGCACAGTCCCGGCCTCCCACCAACAAGCTGTGTCACTTTTCATCTACAAATGCACATGATAAAGAGAATGATGTCCGACTTAGCTGCCTCTCAGGCTGGCCTGAGCAC